TGGCTATGGGTCTGTTACCTTTAAAGCTAATTACAGCACGGTGAATATATGCAGGGGAAAGGAACAGGAGGGGATGTGGAAAGGCTGGAGAAAGGAAAAGGGAGGTTTTTTTATTGCTCACTGTTTTCCAGGCAGTTTAATGGAGACCAGAAGGCAAATATTTTTCCCGTACGCAGTATCTGTAAATCACATTTCATGTTACTCTTTGTGGTACAGTAATTTGGATTCTGAAAAGCAGAAAACTTAAAAGTTTTCAGATGAAGTTGTGATTATTTCAAGTAAATTGTTTAGTAGCTTTTTGGAGAAAATAAGTGTTGTATTTCTAATTTCTACTCATTCTATCAGAGCACTGTGATAAATTATACAAAATGTTTTGTTGTAAACCACAGTTAAACCCCCTGGATACTGAGAAGGTACTTCCACAGCTGAAATATTAGTGTGTGGTCTTCTGACTGTCCAGTAGCCCTTGGTTATTCTCAAGAAACTAATTTTCCTTGCACATAAACACATGCTGAGACGCTTTATTATTTATATGCCTTCAATATATTTACTAGTTAGTAAGAAAGTGTAAAAGTAATAGATAGCTAATGTTTTAAGACTGTAGTATAATCTTGTGATGAATATCTCAGATTAATTACATATAGCATGAAAAATTTTTAATCAGTACGAATTTTCTTTTTTCTGTGAGTTTCACCAAGCATCCCCCATTCCTGTGTTCTGTTTGTATTTCTTTGACACAAAGTTCTCTTAATCATTAATTATGAGCTACAGCTAGAACTATCCATTAGTTGACAAATTGCTTATGAAATATAAAAAGGTCAGAGCATTGCAACATCCTGAAACAGCATGGCATAAATATTATTTTATCTCTAAATGAGGTGATTTTATACCATAGCAATATATTTTTACCCACCATCAGGCAATTAGTTTGCAAGAACTGAACAATGGAATTTTGCCAAGTCATTCATCTCTCTCACATTAAAAAACCAAAAAGAAATATTTCAGAACCACTGTTAAATTATATGCAAAGAAAACTTAAGTATGCAATTTGTAACTGGCTAAACAGATAAACTGCCTTTACATGAATAATAGGTTATTTTATGAAGTAAATACACTTTGCTTATTACTCTTGTGTTAAGATATTCGAGGCAGACTGTACTAGCAAAAGAACTGCTGTGCCTAGTAAACTATCTTTCTAGGATGACTGGTAGATTTTTTTCTCCCTTGGATTAATTACGAAGTTTTTGGAACATTTACAAATATGTGTATTACAGAAGTAGTAAAACACTTTTAGAGGGAAAATATAAATTTGCATTTGATTGTTTGAATGTCTACATTCTGCCCAGTTTCTGTGCAGATATTTGTCTCATTTCATTCCATGTTTTCTAAAGGGCACTATTGAGCATCCTGCATAAAGTGGTACATAATTAATAAAAGGATCTTGTACGAAGGGGAAAAATATTTAAGAATTGAAAAAGACGAACTAAACATATTACATTCTATGTATTTCAGAGATCTGCTGACCTAAAATCCCCAACAACTACCAAATAACAAACATAGTATTTTCACCTCTATAGTAGGCCTTAGTTATTGCATCAAATTCTTCTTGACCCGCAGTGTCCCATAACATTAGCCTGACATCTTCATCATTAACTCTGAAACAAACAGCAAGGCTTTGTGATCAATACAATAAGAGGAGCAATTCAAAACAACTGACGTGGAAATACTTATGTATCTACAGCGTAAGTAATCCAAGTCAAATTTAACTGGATTTAAACATCATGTAACTTACTATTAATACATTCACCTTCATAACATAAAATGGCAACAGTCCCTCAATTACATCATATGCTCTTTACTGAGCATATGACATAAGTGGTCTGTATTACATTTTCCTCTTCCTTTCCTCCTCTTCCTCTATATTTCCCTCTACAAGGAAAAATAATACAGACATCAAAACAAAACTTAGGTGCTTGAAGAATGGTCCTAGTATCTTTTTAATCAGCTTACAGAATTCATAGGATTTTCTTACTTCTCATTACCATAGTATTTTCCACTTTATCAAACATAATTAGGTATTACCTGCTTATACTGCATAAAGACATTAAATATTGTTTCCCACAGTCATTTTTATCAACATTGGCTAATAAATTGGTGTAATCATTTTATCATAAGCAGTTTCACTTCTTCCACAAGAAATTATTGAAAAAAATTTAAAAAATAATCAACATGTGGTAGAATACAAAGGAAACTCGTCAAAGAGCTTAGTACGACAGAGGTTCCAGATTTTATTTATAGTTTTAAATTTTGGATGGAGAATAAATGATATAATTTTACCCCACAGTGCAAGAGAGAAAACAACTGCCTTTACTGCGCTTCAGAAACAGCAGGCCTTGTCTTCCAAGTCTTTGTAAACCTCAGGATTACAACAGAAGAAAGAACTAGAGAGAAAGGTAAAAGTTAATAGTATGTCATCTCCTTAATACATACTGGATTTGTCTTTCCAGGAAATCTACACCAATAGTTTTCTTGTAGTCTTTTGTAAAAATCCCCTTGCAATATCGCTGAATCATACTGGACTTCCCAACAGCTCCATTTCCTACAACTACCACCTTGATGGCCACTTCCATATCTTCTTCCAACATCTTTGTGTCTCAGGCAACTCTCTGGTTTATTCAGGAAACTGTTGATTCTGTCAACAAAGTAAATAGCTATTATGTTCATAAAAATGCTGTGAATAGAAAGCAAGAGGAAAGATGATCACACACATCAGGATGCATATAGATGGTACAATTTATTTCTGCCTCAGTCACAGACTGTTTAAGTGACCTCAGGCAACTTATTTAATGAACTTTGATTTGCCACTTATTAATTAGAAATTAATAAAAATCAGAAATAGAAAATAATTTGTTGGGCTTATTGCAAAGATATTTCATTCAAGTTTTGGTGGCTATTTTTTTTTTAATGAGGAAGAAATGGAAGCAGAGAATCACAAAAGCATGGAATCATTAAGGTTGGAAAGACCTCAAAGATCACCAAGTCCAACAATTAACCCAGCATGGCCAAGTCCACCACTAAACCCTGTCTATAAGTGCTACATCTACACATCTTTTAAACATCTCCAGGGATGATGATGATGATGATGCAACCACTTCCCTGGGCAGCCTGTTCCAATGCTTGATAACCCTTGCAGTGAAGAAATTTTTCCTAATAAACCTCTGCCGGCACAACTTGAGGCCATTTCCTCTTGGCTGTCGCTAGTTGCCTGGGAAAAGATGCTGACCCCCACCCAGCTACATCCTCCTTTCAGGTAGTTGTAGAGAGCAGCAACGTCTCCCCTGAGCCTCCTTTTCTCCAGGCTAAACAACCCCAGCTTCCTCAGCCTCTCCTCATAGGACTTATCTCTAAACCCTTCTCTGGACATGCTCCAGCACCTCAATGTCTTTCTTGCAGTAAGGGGCCCAGAACAGGACAAAGTACTTGAGCTGAGGCCTCATAAGTGCTAAGTACAGAGGGACAATCCCTTCCTTGGTCTTGATGGCCACACTATTTCTGATACAGCCCAGGATGCCTTTGGCCTTCTTGGCCACCTGGGCACACTGCTGGCTCATGTTCAGCTGCCTGTTGACCAGCACCCCCAGGCCCTTTTCCATCAGGCTGCTCTCCAGCCACTCTTTCCCCAGCCTGTAGCACTGCATAGCATTGTTGTGACCCAAGGGCAGGACCCAGCACTTCATCTTATTGAATCTCACACAGTTGACCTTGGTCCATCAATCCAGCCTGTCCAGATCCCTAAGCAGAGCCTTCCCACCCTCCAGCAGACCAACACTCCCACCTGACTTTGTGTAGTCTGCAAACTGACTGAGGATGCCCTCAATCCCCTCATCCAGATCACTGATAAAAATATTAAACAGAGCTGTCTCCAACACTGAGCCCTGGGAAACACCACTAGTGACCAGATGCCTGATGGATTTAACTCCATTCACCACCACTCTCTGGGCCTCTGTCCTTCAAACACAGGTGTGCCTCCCCCAGGTTTTTCTCTAGGGAGGTTGGTTTTATTCCTTTCCCCCTTCAAATCCAGTTTAAAACTTTCAGTGAGTCCTACTAACCCCTGTCAAAGATCTTTTCCCCACTTTGGGACAGGCATAACCTATCTGTTGACAGCAGGCTTGGTGTCGTGTAGACCCACCCATGATCAAAACCCACAAAATTCTGCCCAAAACACCAGGCTCTGTTTCTTTCCTTTTTATTCTCTGCTACTGGAAGGACAGAAGAGAACACTGCTCGCACTCCTGATCCCCTAACCAGTCATTTCAAGGCTCTGAAGTCTCTCTTGATTGCCCTCGGACTTGCTGCAACTTCATCATTGCCTATCTGATAAAAGCTAACTTTCCCCCGCGTTTTGCTGCGCCGGGATATCATCACAGTAACATTTCGCAACCGCAGAGTGGCAAATTTACCTCCCAAGAGGCACGCCACCCTGTTTTGGAAGGATGGGAAAATACATCCCTTGTGAAGGCTCTGCCCATCCTCCCGCTCGCCCTCCGTGCTGGCAGAGCTGCGCTACCCGGCACCCTCGCTCCGCTCGCCCAGGCAGACGCCGTTTCTGGGCTGCCTTGGCCGCATTAAAGGCCAGCCTACACCCGTTTCTACAGAGCGTTTGGCAAGCCCCGTTAGCACCGGGAGTCCGTATGGCCATTTTGGGCGAAGACGAGACCCCCGAGGGTCTCCGCGCAGACACCCACCGCCCCCTC